AAGAATGAATGTGCATGTGATTATATTGCACGCATAATGACATATTTTCTTACCTGGTAAATCTTGGGTGGTTGTTAAGGTTGTGTAATGAGGTACTAGGGAGGAAGTCGTTTTGCAGAAAAGGGGACAATGAACTGTTAAAGCAGAGCATGAACAAAATAGTGATCTGCCACAAAGTTGCCTTAATTTTGTTCTTAAAGTTCGATTTGCAGTATAGGGAAAAAACGAATAGGGGAACAATTACAAGAGGTGGGTAAAATACGTTATTCCTATGAAGCAGCAGATCAGAATGGCAGAAACTGGTTGTAGTTGCTGGAGGAAAAAGCTTGAAATACTTGGCGGTGATTGTTAGTGTTATTAACTGAAAGATCTCCACATGTTAAAGTGTCCCCTGGTTTGTTTGCGGCATGGATCTGTGGCTGTGCTCCTACCGTTACAGCGCTGTGTTCTGTGACTGTCTGCTCTCAGCAATCCTGGTACAGCGGGATTTGAAATGCTGTCATTATGCTGCTAGGGGAACATAAAGAGCCTGCGTTGCCCTGGTGTACCTGAACGTCGTCTTATCCTAGAATATGTTTGATAATTAACCGTTGTTAAACAGTGAAATTCTAACATGAACCGCCTGGTAATTACAACATTCCTCTGCGTACTACGTTTGGACAACTCCTTCATCCTGAGTTCTGTGTAGTTTTCTTCTGAAAGAATGAAATTATAAAAAGTAGTCTGAGTGCTCAAGTTGATAGATAGCAGAAGGTAGAAGATACAGTCACTGAAATCACAGTAGAGTGACTTCTGCTTCGCTTGGGCAGAGTTCACATCGTTCCTTCCATCTTTACGATGCTTACAAGGAGTTTTCCTGGTGGAAAAGTCTCAGCTTCTTTCACCTTCATTTAATAACTTTACCAAGTACTGAGGAACAGACTGCAGTCTCCTTTGACACAGCTGACTGCATCCTTGGCACCTAAAGAATGACCAGCAAAGAGAATTTTCTGTAATAGTAGCAGGGCATATCATTTTGGTCCCTACCCACAAAGTGATGGGTCAGGTGTGCATATATATGTGTATGTACATAGGTAACATATTTAAAAATTAAAAAACATTATCAAACAGTTTTTAGCCTAGCCTTCACTTGTTTTTTTTTTCTTTTTATTAATACAGATGGTAACTTGTAAGGAAAAACTGTTGAAATTGTGTACCAAGTATTTTACTTCATACAGAAGACAGTTAATTAAAGGGTAGCGTGTAAAGGTTAGATGCTTCTAAAACATCTGTGACTTCGGCATGTTGAAGAGAGACATCTTGTCACTTAAGATAAGCTCTGCTCCTGACCATTAGCATGTTCTGCTTTCTAGCAAGCAGCACAACACACCAGCTTTGTGTCACTTCTCTGTTGACATCACAGGAAAAAAATGCATTTGCATCTTAGCCGTCATTGAGCCCCAGATCTGTGTTCATGCAAAGATAGGTAAAGCTGGTACTGGTATTTGTCTTGTAATTAGGAAGATAAATGTTTTTTTTTAAATGTGCATTGATGAATTTTCTTTTCCTAGCAAAGAAGGTGAATGGAGTAGACCCAGGAGGCGGTGGAGGCAGTGGTGGCGGCATCAGCAGTGCCAGTGGTCAGCAGACACCTTTGTTTGAAACTTACTCTGATTGGGATAGAGAAATCAAAAGGACGGGTGCATCAGAGTGGAGAGTTTGTTCAGTCAATGAAGGTTATATGATATCTACTTGGTAAGTTTTTCTTATAATGCAAGTAAGCATAGAAGCAAATGAGGCAATTACGCTGCCTTTTCTCCTCTAAGTCTCAATCCCACCCAACTCTAATTTAACTCTTCAGTGTGCTCCCTGCAGAGAGCCCTTAGCTGGAAGATCCTGCAGATGCTGTCTTTGTAGGAATGCTGTATTTTCAGAACGTATTGAATCTGGCATCTATTTCTTTCATGCTCTTGTGCCTCTGAAATCTGCATGTTTGTAAGCAAATGCACCTGAGCCATAGATGTAGGAGATGCACATGACAACTAGTTAGCCCTGTGATATTAACGTCTGACGCTTTAGAGTTGAACAGAGCTGATAAGACAGCACTGCAACAAAAGAAAAGCTGATAAAATACTGAGGGAAAAGTAACTTTTTGTATTGTGTTTGTTTCCCAAGCCTTCCAGAATATTTTGTGGTCCCTTCTTCCTTAGCAGATCAAGACCTTAAGCTCTACTCCCACTCTTTTATTGGGAGAAGAATGCCAGTAAGTAAAGTCTTCATTCTTTATTTATGCAACATTAAATAAAAGATATGTATGCCAGTTAACATAGCTTAGAGAGCATTAAGAAGAAAAATCCGCAGAATAACACAAACATGCTTTGTTGTTGTTGTGTGTTTTTTGTCTATTAGTTATGGTCCTGGAATCATCCCAATGGGAGTGCCCTTGTAAGAATGGCCAACATCAAGGATGTGCTGCAACAAAGAAGAATTGATCAAAGGTAAAGAATAACATCAACTAATTGTTTAACCAGATACAGCATAAAGTGTGTGGCAACGGTGTGTAATGTAGAGCAGCGTTCTGTAGTGCAGAGCATATTTTTTCTTAATGTTACAGTGCAAAATCTTTTGAGAAATGGTCTTCTGAGTATAGTCCAGGCCTGTGTTCTGTTCAAGGTCCGGTTCAGCTGGAAAACTGAATAATTTATTGAGTTTAATGGCTGTGTATTTTTTAATTGCCAGTCTTCCAGCCAATAGAATTCACTGTTAGAAGGATTGGATCAGTATTGGTGATACTGCAGTAAAACTTAAGTTTATGTAGAATTTCTTACCTGCTTCAGAGAACCACAGCAAAAGTGATTTGTTTTATAGCATTTACTGTTTTCTAGATGCAGTGCCGCAATACACACAGCCGCTTGTTTTAGGTGTTGCACTGCATGTGTTATGCTGGGGCTTTGAGTTCCATTTTTAAAACCCTGTCAGATTTCCTGGCTTTATATACTTGATGCATGTTGTGTTTGTTTGGCACAGGTAAGTCTTACTAAAAATGGCAGAAAATGAAACACTGCGTAGAGCTGCTTGTTTAACCTGCAACTCTGCCTCAGATTTTCACTTACCCAAAGTGTTTTAAAGTTCAACCCTTCCATTTTTGCTTTGTAGCTTCATGTATTGAAAGTATTTGAGCCAGCAGCTTTGTAGCAGGAGCAAAGCATCTCCTAAAGATAAACTGGAACTTGTTCTTTCTTTTTTAACCAAGCATGTGTTTTACATGTTTTTGCTGTTTTGCAGTTTGGCATGTTTCATAAGTTCTCTCTTCTCTCTCTCTCTCTCTCTCTCTGTCTCTCCAGTAATTAAGTAAAATTTTTTATTTTTACTTCCTAAAGGATTTGTAATGCAATAACTCGAAGCCATCCCCTGAGAAGTGACGTCTACAAATCTGATCTGGACAAGTGTCTCCCCAACATCCAGGAAATCCAGGCTGCGCACATCAAACTCAAACAGCTGTGTGTTAACGGTAAGCTGAGCTGTCCTTCTGAGGTGGTCGTTTCCCTGAACTACAATTCTAATAGACATAAGAGAATAGATAGTTGTTCTGCAGCATTACTGCTTTCCTTGTTGCAGAGCCCTTTGAAGAAACAGAAGAGAAGTGGCTGTCCTCACTGGAAAATACTCGCTGGTTAGAGTATATCAGGTTTGTATCATTAATAAAATGGCTCCTGAGATGTAGACTTGCACAGTGTAAGAAAGAAGTGAATCGGATGAAGGATTTGCTATTTTAATTAACAAATTAGGAAATATAGGTAGGACTAATATTTTTTAAGAGTGTGAAACTATAATATTAATTGCGATATCACTTTCTTTCCCTGTCTAGATCATTTCTTAAGCACTCTGCTGAGCTCGTATACATGATGGAGTGTAAGCACGTTTCTGTAGTTCTACAAGGTAATACAGCCATGCCTGTAATTCTTAGCATTAATGGTGTAATGTACACAAACACAATTTCTTAAAATAAACTATAATCTTTATAAGTGATAAACACATCAGTTCTAAATATTTTAAGCATTTGAGGACCTGGAATGGAAGATAATTTTATTATGTTTCTGGACTGTAGTGTAGTCCATAGAATCAAAGGGGAATTTCACTTTGAGTCTTCTTGTTTTTGCTCTGGTAACGATACGGTAGCATCACAACTGCAGGGTGGACTTTTGTACTGTGTAAGCTGGGCTAATATTCCTTGCGTAAGCAATACCACTGTAATTCAGAGGGCTCATTTACCAGCTCGTGGCATTTCAGTTACACAAGAGCAACCAATGTCAGTGCAAACAGACGTTATAGAAGAAAACTCTCTGAAAAACTTTCTGCTTTCTAGATCAGAAACATTGTAATTTCTGTCATTTTTACAAGACATGTTCGGCTTGTGTATCATGCTTGTCAACATTGGTTTATTAGCTTTGTAAGAACTCCTTCAGGGTAGAATACATGTTAAAGCTTTCCCTCAACACGATTACCCTCCTGCACAGCATGTTTTGTAAGTACCAGGCTTTCCCTGAGATGCTTTGGTTCTTTGTGAATGCATTGCTAGCTGCATATGCGGCAGGAACCATCAATATGGGATGAGTCTTGGTTAAAACAAATTAAGAATAAAAAAGGTAGCTCTTATTTTTGGAACTGAAATAACTGCACAAACCCACAACACGAAATAAATGTAAAGATATATATTTTTATAATTATAAATTATGTTAAATTTAAAAGAAATTCAAAACTAAACCCAGTTGCCTCCTTATGCTCTTTGTGATATTACTTTGTATCAGTGTGTGTGAATGTGCACCTCATGTATTTCATACATTGTGTGATTCACAGAGGAAGAGGGACGGGACCTGAGCTGTCTTGTTGCTTCTCTCGTTCAAGTCATGCTGGATCCCTACTTTCGAACGATTGTTGGATTTCAAAGCTTGATACAGAAGGAGTGGGTCATGGCAGGATATCAGTTTTTAGATAGGTGTAACCACTTAAAGAGATCTGACAAAGAGGTAAAAGTGACTTTATTTGTATCTGATAACTGTACTGCCTTAAACATTTACTCACAAAAAAAGTCTGAAAGTAAAAATATCATCCATACTTTTTATGAAATTTCATGAAACTTACGTCAGAGAAAATGAGTTGCTGTCCAGGGTAGAGAAATGCTGTTTATCAATAGTTGCCATGTGAGATCTAATTAAATTCCATTTCTCTTCCCAGTCCCCTTTGTTCTTGATGTTTCTCGACTGTGTTTGGCAGCTGCTAGAACAGTACCCAGCAGCCTTTGAGTTCTCTGAAATGTACTTGACGATACTGTATGACAGTGCACGTATCTCCTTGTTTGGCACTTTCCTTTTCAACTGTCCTCATCAACGAGTAAAGGAAAGCACTGTGAGTATTAAGTGTTCCAGCCCCTTTTCAGCTGCATCATCTAAAGCAAGTGGTGCTCCTTCGTGTTTCCAAAATGTCACACTCTTGTTTGGTGCAAAATACTCCCCGGGTGAATACGGTCAAATGTCCTTTCAGGTGAGCTTTGCGAAGGCAGTAAGAGTGTTCTGGAAGAAAGTCTATTGAATTTCTTCTTTTCTACATAGTTTTCCTATTGTACGTGATTATTTCTGCTCCACTAAGAAACGTGTATTTATGTCTGGAATTGCAGAATGACAGGCAATTACAGAATTTCACATTTCAGGCAAACTTTGAAGTCCACTGACATAATTGTTTAAACAATAGAAAAAGTTGGAAAAGGATGTGCGAGTGCAAAATAGTAATGCACAGTGAATGTTTATTTCAAGATATTTAGGAAACTGAGCACTTGAATTTATTTTTGAAAACTAGATTTTATGAGAACTCTGTGTAGACGATATTTGATGGCTGATAAAAATTAAGCACGAGTGAGTTTTGTTAGGCAGCTTCCCATTAAAGCTGTAGGGAACAACCTCACAAAGAAGTAGAACGTTGAAAAACCATTTGTATTCTCAGAATATGAATTGTTTTAATAGTGAACGATTTCATACTACTGAAGAGTGCTTTTTGCTAAGTAAGCATTAGTCCTGCATCTCTGCTGTGTAAGTGAAAAGCAGGGCACAGCTGTGTGCTCCAGCAGCAGGCTGTCTTGCTGCACTGGTTTGATCTGCAGCCACCTCTCAGCTATGCCTCCTCACCTGGTTATTACACACTACTATGGTTCAGATTTGTGGAAGATGTTTGATTTGTAATATGCCCAAATGTTACTTCTTGCAGGAATTTGCTATAAGCAAAAATATTCAGCTGGGTGATGAGAAGGGCCTCAGATTTCCTTGTGTTTGGGACTGGTCTCTTCAGTTTACAAGCAGGGATCGCCTGCTCTTTCACAACCCTTTGTACATTGGGAAAAGCTCACCATGTGTGCAGAACGGAGCAGTGAAAACTTTCAAGCGCTCAAAGGTAACTTTGGTGACTTCTGTTTGTGAATGGACTGTTTGTGCTTAACTGTAAGTCAGAAACGTACAGTTACGTGATGTTTTACACTGTCACTTAGCACTAGGAGTGCTAAGGCTTCTCTTACCTCCACAGCCTAAAGAAAAGGTACACAGGGCTTTCAATACAAGTAAAGACTGTGCCTGTGTTCCAGGACATTCCCTGATGCACCTCAGCTCACTGCCAGCAGCTGCATTATTCCACCTGTGGAAAAGCAGCGACACACTTTCTTTTCCCCAGAGTTGTCATTTGTGAGTGCTGATTACTACAATCACTTGTTGTTTTGCTAAGCCTAGAAAACCTAAGTATTTCTTTCTGAAGGCCTCAAGGGACTCCATTTGGTCTGTGAGCCGTGCAGTGGCTCCTAAGTGCAGAACTGTTTGAAGGTCACATCGTTTAGCTGGTTAATACCTGCAATTGCTCAGGGAAATCTGCTGTTGCAGTGAGGGTAAAGCTGGAAAATGACCAGTATTTATTCTCTGCAGAAAAACTACAGCTCGACACTGCGAGGTGTCCCCCCAGCATTGAAAAATGGCATCATCAGTGAGCAGGAGTTCCTTCCAAGAAGAAACTCTCTGATACTGAAACTGAAACCAGACTTCTTACAGCAAACAGAGAGTCAGAGTAACAGTATGGAACAGTACTTCAGAGACTGGTTTGCAAAGCCTGTTGATTTGCACGGCGTAATTCTGCCCCATATCTCTGGAACACAAATAAAACTCTGGAAACTGTGCTACTTCCGCTGGGTTCCTGAGGCCCAGATTAATCATGGTGGCTTCATTGCTGCTTTCCATAAAGTCTCTTTGCTGGCAGATGAAATAGACATGTTAAACCGGAGCCTTCGACAGTGCAAAAGCAACTCTCCTTTGCAAGGTAACTGCTCAGAACTGGATCAAGGCAGGATGTACTTCCGAGCAAATGGCTTAAACGACACCTCTGGGGCCCCAGACTTTCTCTCCTCCTCTTTCCCATTTTCACCTGTAGGGAACCTGTGCAGACGGAGCATTCTGGGAACGCCTTTAAGCAAATTCTTGAGTGGTGCCAAAATCTGGCTATCCACTGAGACGCTTGCGAATGAAGACTAAGATGATGTGATGGCCTATAGATCCAGGGAGGCTATAGCATATTGTTTTGTCTTTTCTAATTTAACACTGCTAAAGGCAGCCTTGAAAGCTGTAATAATTTTTATATACAAACGTTACGTAAATTTTGCACAAATATTTAAAAGCAAAGCGAGTCAGGCTTCAAATCGCACAATTTTGTCCTCAGTAGTTCTCATCCATGTCTTGTCTGGTTTCTGGTCCCTACTTCTTTCTGTGTTTGGGGGGTTCGACTCTTTATATGAGATTTCTAATGAACGCCGATGCTAACTGCTGGTTTGGTGTGGTTGTTAATGAGGGTTGTTTGAAATACCTATTTTCCCAGATAGCTTGTGTTCACTTGGTAACGACTGAACTCTGAGCACAAACTCTTCCCTCAGATTTACTTTCCAGGCAGAAAACGTGTGTACACAGATACTGATGTCCTGTGACTGGATCACCTTTCATATGTGTTAATGTAGTGTGCATCCACGGAGGAGGTGTTCCTTTTCCTTTCTCCCCAGAATGCATCCATTAGCAATCAGATTTTTGCTCTTTGTCATGAGCTTGCCGTTAGGCTATAGGAATCAACTTCAGGACAATGCACTGTTAACCTTAAACCATTTACTGTACATAGATAATGTAGTAGCTTTAGAAGTGCCTTTAAACAGGAGGAAAAAGTAGCAAGATTTACTCTAATGCAGCTACCTGCTCCCCCCCCCCCCTTTTTTTTTTTTACAGCAGATTGTTAAGGTAAGTTCTGGTTCCTTCCTCTGCCTTCCCCTTTCCTTTTGTGGAAATAAGAGAATATAGCTCAGGAGACAATAGGTTGTTCTTCCCAAAGGTTAAGCTCATTTTTTTTTTTTTTAAGTCTCATGAGAGCGTCTCCTTTTCTCAGCACCTCTGATATTCAGCACTATCATGCACAGATCCCTCTCACGCCCAGTTCCAGGCTGCAGCACACTTCAGCCCTAACACTTTTTGGAACAGAGGCTGGGCTGTGAGAGGCCGCATCTGTGAGGGGTGCTGGTGCTCCTCTTGAGCAGGGCTGGGAGAAGAGTGATCAGCAGTGCCTTCTTTTTTACCTACTAGTAGCCCCCGTGGACAATGCAGTGGACAAGCACAGCTCTTAAACCTTTGCCTTGTCACTCTCTGCTGGATGCTGCATGAAACAAACAAGAGATGGGGGTGGGAGGGCAGTACAGTGCATCATTATCTGAAGTGAAGGCATGGGTGGAGGACAAGAGAATACTTCTGTGGAATACGTTCTCTTAACAGTGAGTCTTATAGTACCTGATCTCTGTAAAATGCAAAAGCTATTAATGCTGAGCCTTACTGACCAGGCTGATCAAGCTGTTCCCAGTTAGTAGGAAAAAAAAAGTTTTAGATCATATGCAGCCTGTAGAGCGTTTAAAAAAAAACAAACAAGCAGGGGGAGGGGAGCAGGGAGATTTGGAGTTGTTTATTTCTGTGTAAAACCAAACTGGTCTTCTCTGCAGCCTAAATCAAAGTAACAAGGGTTTTGGATGTCTATGATGGCTCAAGTATTTATTTAACAGAGTGGCCTTACAGGTGCCAGCACAGTGCTAGCTGAGCCTGCTGCACACAGGACCCCATTTTCACCAGGCTACAAATGACGTGAAGTGCAAAGCTGCGAGGAGCAGTGGCACACTGGGTTCTCACACTGCTTGGTTTGCCAGGGACGAGTGGGCTTGTTTTAAAGGTGAGCTGAGGTGTGGGAGGAAAAGGAAAAATAAACTTCCTTTTTTAACTAACCAGCACTTCCCCCCACCCTGTGTGTGGGGCAGGTGGGGGCTTATGACCCTTGTCAGATTGCTTCTGCTCAGCTCCCTGTGAGGGAAAAAATGTGCATTCACCTCAGTTGCCTAATTATGCTGCAAGACAGTCTGAGCATGTTATATGTTCCCCAAACAAGCTGTTCTTAATTGCAAGCTTGCTGGAGCAGTCAGCCAACTGATTCATTACTCAAGTGACTCTTATTTTGCTTTTGTAATGGTTTTTTTGAACTAGCTTACTGTTTTCCCTGGCCTGATACTTGATGTAAAGACCTCAACCCATGTGCGTGGGGGTATTTTGGTACCAGTTTTTTCTCTTTTTTTTTTCTCCTTAAATTACAATTAGAACTATGGTGTCTTTTTTTTTTTTTTTTTTTTGTCCTTAAAGGTGTAACTTGTTTGGCTTAAAAGAACCTAAAACGTATTAAAAAAAAAAATAATTACTCAAACAGGGAGCTGGTAGAATGCAACACACAGTATTTAGGCCCATGCCTGTTGGGGAAAAATGGGTGCTATGTTTAAACAAATGAGGTTGACTGTAATGAGACTTAAGAAATTTTTACCTTTCAGTTCAACAGTGGGTACAGATGCTGCAGATGGTCTTTGTAGTCTATATGTGTATGTATATGTATATAGATATACATATAACTATACATATATAATAGGGGAGGGGATGTTAAAAAATAACAGACTTGTTTAATAAGCAGTTACCAGGAGAGTTAGGCAGGCAGAGGCTGAGAAGGAGACGAGCACAGGGACATCCCCAACTTGCATGGAAAGGATGAAGGGAGGAGAGGAGCCTGTCTGCTGCCTTGTGTTTGCAGACTGAGAGTGCCTGTGACTGTTGGTTCTTCCCTTTGAGTAAGTTCTACAGCTTTTTTTTTTTTTTTTTTTTCCTTCTTTAAATTTGCTTTTGAAACACAGGTACTAAAAGCTAATTTCAGAATATTCTCCACTCTACACAGTTGCCTTATCATCAGCAGGGACTGCTCTGAACATTTCTAATAGCTTTCAGAAGCAGTTTTGGTGTGCAAGTACTTAACTTCTGTGTACAAAATCAACATACAAGTGTGTATATGAATGTGTGTGTATGTGTATATGTATACACGTTCTCAAATTACTATTTCTGTTCACCATTTTAAAACAAAACTGTTGATGGCATTTGGTTGTTTCAAGAGTAGAAAAGCTACAGAGAAACTCCTATTTTTGTCTGTTTCTTGTAAAAGAAAAGTGCACTATTTTGGCTGGTACCAGCTGTTATAATCATTATTTTTTTGTAACTACACTGTAAACCTTGCAGGGGGTGAAACACAAATTGCAGGTTGGTAAGATTTAAGTGTACCTGTGGTGTCACTGATTACTGCTAGGTAGAGGTCACTGTGGTAGGACAACATTATTCCCCGTTTTTACTGCCAAAAATCAAAGAAATTCCTTTCATTCCAGAAACTCATTGAAAAGTGTGTTACATGTAAACCCAGGCCTGCACCTGTGTGTGTGTGTGTGCACATGCTGGCAATACCACTCCGCTATTAACTGCCTTGCACTCGGAATGAAGATGTAGCAAGTGGGTCAAAGGTTTTGGCTTACACTCAGATGGAAAGAAACATTAAAACCAAAAATTTCTAACATTTGCAGCCTCCAGTGGAAGAGACAGAAATCTGTACCTCAAGTGGCTCTAGGCAGTAGGGTTCTAATGCTGTTGCTGTGATGGTGTAGAGTTTGCTATTTCAATTGAAACTAAAACCCTTGTGCCTGATAATGATTTACTGAGTAAAGTAGCAGTGCCAGGAAGATTATAACATCCTGATGCTGACTTGTGAATGTGAAGTAAATTAGACTAAATAAAATTCATACCTTTCCAGAGTGAATTTCAGGTGCTTTTCTTTCACTTCCTCCAACAACAAAACTGGGGGGGCTACATGGCTTTTTTCTCCAAGAAAAGCAGGGTTGCTGTGCTGAAGAAAGATGACTGATTAAGAGGAAAAAAAAGGTGTGCAGCTGATCTTAATTTCTCACTATATTCTATTATTAAAGCATTTGCTGTTTGCATGGTAAGCAGAATGCCTGGTGGCACTTCTCAACTCCTGTCTACTACCCAAACCATCCTGGCCCATTTTTGTAGGTAACACAGCTATTTCAGACAGGAGTTATTGAGCAAATGATCCTATCACTCAGTCAGATACAGCAGCAAACTGAAATATTTATAAACATGTTTTATGCCTCAAGCAATGCGACCAACGCCTGGCTCTGTATTTTACATGAAAAATACAATGAAAAATTGAAATAGATGATACAGTGTGGAGACAGTTATAAAACCATGCTGGTCCTGGAAAGGAGCTGAAGGGAAGGTAATGAATGCAATGTGGGAAGCACCAGGCTTTGCTGCCCACATTGTTTGTGATAGAGAATGTTCTCAATGGTACAAAATGCACCTGCAGCTGTTTGTCTAGACTGGACAGAGGCCCTCGATTACCCTTCACAGAATCAGTTATGAAATGTGTATAAAAGAAAATGCTTTATTCTACTGAACACAAGTGACAGTTTTCTCAGACTATTCTTTAGAATGTTTTGTGCACTGAGAAGCCAGAATTCAGAAGAAAACACTTAGAAGAAGCAGTAACGGTAGTGTATGGCCCACCACATCCTTAGAAACAACCAAGTTACCCATGTGGTTAAGGCACCTTTTGTCAACTGAGCCGTTTACTTTTAGCTCCAACTGCTTGTACGTGACAGACTTCTACAGCAGCCCCCAGCTTCTTCAGCTCGCTCAGCCAGATCATCTGCTTGTGGGACAGGCGATCGTTGGGGCCTTTCACTTCTACGAGCTACAAAGAAATGGGGATGATGAGCTGTGTGTATGTATGTGGGAAAGAAATGAAAAAGTTCATTTCATAGGCTCTTTCCTCTATGGCTATTTGCAACAAAAATAATACAGACTGAACACAATGGAAGACCAGTAGGTGCTAAATGGTTAATATCCCTAAAAAAGCTTGACTAAAAGAGACTGGAATTTAATATAGTAATTATCCACCCAACTACAGTCAGAGGAACTGGTCCTAAGTGATCAAAACTGGTCCCTTACCAACCTTAACTGCCACTCATCTCCAGTATCACAGTTCCAGCTTCAACAGACTGCAACATAAAGTACAGCAGCTGCTTCAGAGAACTTTTGTTATTCAGCTGTGCTTTATAAAGGCATAACAAGATGCTCCAGCTAGGGCACCCAACAGTCTTCTAGCGCTATTCCTCCACAACACAAGATGCAAACCATGACTGTTTACTCCATCTGTTTTGTAACAGAGTTCTGTAGTTGTCCTATGTATTTTTGAGTGGTGACTTTAACACCCCTTGTGAACAGCAGTGAGAATCTGTATGGCCAATTGAATAACAGTAATTTTACTGTAATTTTCACCTAAAGGACCTATTCTGCAACACTACCTAGCCATCTCCTGCTGGTGTTTATTACATCCATTAAAGCAACACCAAAAGATGTAATAAAACATCAGGTAAACAATCAATGACCATTTGCCATACAGCTGCTGATTAGAGGAGCAGCAGGTTTAGCTCTACCACAACAGGAAAATACAGTTTATATAGACTGACAAGTGGAAGTTGTTATATCTAAAAGGTAGGATCCACTGAGCACCACTGCCATCATCTACCTGTATCCCAGCATACCTTGAAGTGATTACTGTGAGTACTCCACACCACCAGATCAGGAAGCCCCCCTCTGCAGTGGCGCAGATCTTTGGAAAGTCGCCTAAAAACACCACTCAGAAACATTCCTCCAAGGCAAGAGACAAGGCTCTGTAAGAGAAGTCACACAGTTGACCATTTCACTTTACTGTACAACCACTTCTCAATTCCCACAAGAATATTTGATGGCCAATTAAATACAGACATTTTCCCTCTGTGTTCCTAATGATTGTTGTAGGAAAAGTGACCATATCTGTAAAGGGTAACAGCACTTCTTAGCATTAGTGAAAACTGTGCTGAAGTCCGCACTCAGTTCCCCCCCTCACCATCGAAGAGGAAGGAATTTGTTTTCTTAGTGCCTCAGGTCAACCTTACTAATTTTCTGAGCATTCTGAAGCTGTGTGGGAGCTTAATAAAACAGAGCGCCCATCCTGGACAATAATTGTTTACCTGAACCTGCTGGAGGGAACTAAAAAGTCCCCAGCTAACCAGTGCTGCTGCTTTTCCCTCCTGCGTGGTCCAGATGTCAGCAACCAAGTTTGCCAGAGTCTCCAAAGAAGCTCCGTGAAGCTGTTGGAGCCTGGCCTCAATGGCATCCCTCCTGTTCTCATAGAAGCAGTCAGTGTACAAATCCAGGGGGAACATCTGCATGAGAAGGTAAACACAGTGCTGAGGATCTGCTGGCCAAAGCAGCAACTCCAAGAATGACAATGCCCTACGTCATACTGTTCTTCATCTGAACTACCACTTCGTTTACAGACAGTGTAATTCAAATGCATCCACCTCAATTTAATAGGGAAAAAGTTGTATATTACAACAAACAGTTGATGACAGTGCAGCATACACTGGCCCCATCTCAGCCCAGGCTGTTGTGGTGGTGTTTTTTTTTTTTTTTGAACTCTAGTCAGAAATCCCATTAATACATAGAAAATAAAGGGCTTGTGCTCAGCTAACTCCCAGTTGGGATTTGGAATCATGATCAAGGCTGCTGTGAGCCTGCAAATTCCCTTATGTCCCACCTCAACCTTCCGAAGACCAATCCGCTTGGTCTGCTTACCCTGCAAACAGTACTTAACCCCATACAGACTTGGTCATACACAAACAGAAAGAAACTTGAAAAAGACATTTTAAGGAACACAGGTCAACCCAAATCAAAAAACAAGTTGCGTTTCAGCTTTGAGAGACTCACGCAGCCATAGGCTTGAGTTTAATCCTACTGGCCTAATAAAAACCATCAGTTTGCTACATTTCCACATCACTTCAGCTCCAGCTTCCCCACTTACAAAGAGATATTTCCAGTGCCCGCTAATTAGATATGAAAGGAGATGATAGGTAAGGCAGGGCAGGGCAGATGGAGGTGGGCACTCACAAATCTGAAACCTGAAGTTAAAGGAAAATGCATTCCCCTTTAAAAGTAATTGAAGAAAATATATTGAAAATGTATTTTTAATGGAACGTGTCATCTTCAAACATGAACTATAAAATGGAATACAAGTTCTACCACTGGTTATAAAGAACACTTCAACCAGTGAGATCAGATATAGGACAGCTGCATTTCACCCAATGAATCCCACCCCATCTGACAGTCGGTGCAGGCTTACATGGCACTCTGCCACTGAGAAGCCCTTCAGCAACGAGCCCCACACAACAGCACACAACAAGTACTGCCAAGCTTTGTCTGAAAAGTCCCTCAGAATGAAATGTGAATACAGTCCAGAATGAGAGTGCTAACACTGCTACAGAGCCTACAACAATATGGCTGAAGGAACTAACACAGCCTTTCAAAAATACCTGATAGGAATTTCTGAAGACATCAGGTATGCCATCCATGAAAATGATATCCCACATTAGAATACCATACAGTGTAATAAACGTCGAACCCTCTCCATGAATACCTGAAGAGCAAAATTTAAAAAGACAAGTATTTCAATCACAAAAATGGAAACATTATTAACTTCTACAACAATTTCATATGAAGTTCACAGACCAGAAAGGGCAGCAGGAAAACACAGAGAACATTTTGAGGAAGGAACACAATCAGACAAAAAACATGTCTAATTAATTACCTAAATTGCTTAGTAAATTGGTTCTTTGCTCCCTTAGTTATCTTACTGTAAAAAAGAGTTACTGTTACCCTGATCAAAACCATTCTGTCTGTAATGAGTTAATGCAAGCTCCTCAACTGAGCACATGACTGTGGATACACTGCAGTCTTTGCTTCCTTCTTCTTCATCACTGATATCCTCCATTAGAAACACAGATTTTCCCAATCCTGTTTGAGGACACATCTTTCCCTTGATTGTAACCTGAAAATATTAAACCAATTCGTTACTTTCCAGCATCACAAATTTTCTCTCTCTCTCTTTTTTTTTTTTTAAACCAGAACTAGATTGGCTTTTGGAAGGAACTACATAAAATATTTAACTGGTTATTCCCCAAAAGCCATTCCGTACAAAGCAAATCAGCTTTTATAAACAGGCAAATTTTTAAGAAAAAAAAAAAAGAAATTCTCCCAAAATGCTGAACTGTTACTGTTTCCATCTGCAAAACCAGGAAGAAAGAATATGGACAACAACAAATTCTGGCCTGAGATGAGCAGGGCTATAGGGAGGTATGCTGAGGGAGAAAGGTGCTCTGCTCTGACTTTGTCTGGACACAGATCACAGAATCATAAGTTGGAAAAGCCCTACGAGATCATCTAAGTCCAACCGCCCTCCCATTACCAACCCTTATCTCATAGCTCCTCATCCAGACGCCTCTTGAAAGCTGCCAGGGACGGCGACTCCACCACCTCCCTGGGCAGCCATTCCACTTTCTGAGAGAAAAAGCTTTTCCTCACGTCCATCCTAAACCTCCTCTGGTACAACTTGTGACCATTTCCTTGGATCCTGTTTGTTGCCTGGGAGAAAAGGCCAAACCCCTCCTCAACACAACCTCCCTTCAGGAAGTTGCAGAACGCCATGAGGTCTCCTCTGAGCCTCCTCTTCTCCAGACTGAACAATCCCAGCTCCCTCAGCTGCTCCTCATAGACCTGTGCTCCAGACCCCTCACCACTTTGTTTCCCTTTTCTGGACATGCTCCAGGGCCTCTTTCCTGCAGTGAGGGGCCCAAAACTGAACACAATAGTCAAGGTGCGGCCTCACCAGTGCTGAATAAGGGGGATGATCACCTCCCTGCTCCTGCTGGCCACACTATTTCTAATGCAGGCCAGGATGCCGTTGGCCCTCTTGGCCACCTGGGCACACTGTTGGCTCGTGTTCAGCCAAGCATCAACCAACACCCACAGGTTCCTTTCTTCACAGTCATCCAGCCCCTCATCCCCAAGCCTAGAGTGCTGCATGGGGTTGTGGCTACAGAGCAGGACTCAGCACTTGGCCATTCCATTCACCTCAGCCTAGTGATCCAACTTATCTAAATCTCTCTGAAGAGCCTCCCTACCCTCAGGCAGATCGACACTACCTCCCAGCTTGGTGTCATCTGCAAACTTACTGAGGGTGCACTCAATCCCCTGATTTAGGTAATCAATAGATATTAAACAATATGGGTCCCAGTACCAACCCCTAGGGGACACCACTTGTAACAGGTTGCCAGCTGGACTTAACTCCACTAACCACTACCTGCTGGGCACGGCCCTCTAGCCAGCTCCTTACCCAAAGAAGGGTATACTTATCCAGGTCATGGGCAGCCAGCTTCCCAGGAGAATACTGTGAGAGACCGTGCCAAAGGCTTCGCTGAAGAGTCTAGGTAGACTACATCAACAGCCTTTCCCTTGTTTACCAGTTTAGTCACCCAGTCATAGAAGGAGATGAGGTTGGTCAAGCACAACCTGCCTTTCATGAACCTGTGCTGGCTGGGCCTGATCCCCTGGACATCACCTATGCACATGTCATGTGATGTCACCCAAGATGATTTGCTCCATAACTTTCCCTGGTACTGAGGTCAGGCTGATAGGCCTGTAATTCCCCAGATCCTCCTTATGGCCCTTCTTGTGGATGAAAGTCACATTGGCAAGCCTCCAATCCTCTGGGACCTCTCCAGTTAACCAGGAGTGCTGGTAGATGGCCAAGAGCAGCTCGGTAATTGGCCCTGCCAGCTCCCTCAGCATGCTAGGATGAAGCCCGTGCAGTCCTATGGACTTGTGACAGTCCAGATGGAGGAGCAGCTCTCTGTCTCCACCTCAATCACTGGGTGTATTCTGTGTAGCATCCCAGACTTCCAGATCAGGGCGTGAAGTGCCCTGATTTCTTTGCAACAGTAAAGAAAAGAAATGCTCCAATAGGATGAAAGTCTATTATATAGCATAGCTGCATCGTGTATATTAGTGAAAAATAAACCCTTGCATTTTCTTGTGCCATTAACCTTATGCTAGCAACATCCAATAACTTTTTCTCAAATACAGAATGCCTGAACACATAAGCAGTAATACCCAGACTTCTTGCTCAGACTCTGACTTCCATCAGAGAAGTTCTGAGGGTGTTAGTGGTAAATTCTTGGGGTTTATATCTGTAGGATTTGTAAAAAAGTATTTTGTACATTTCTGTTTCAGAAACACATTTATATTCACTTTCCTACAGCATGAGTAAGCCGCTGGTGAACAGCTCATGCTGACAGCATCCCAAATCACTTCTTGTCAGAACAGTAAAGGCTTATGGAGTTGGGTGTTTCAAAGTACCTGGTATCTTTACTCACGTGTGTCACATCCTCCACAGTTATGCCTGGCAAATCATGAAAAAGGCATCTGAGCTGCCTGCAGCTTGGTGAGTCTCTGATGCGTACAGCCCGCAGGTAGAGAGCGAGACGGTGCCCCGTCCGCACAAACGGGTCAGCCAGTCCATTCCTAATGCAGTCAACGGCCTGGCAAAGAGCCACATAACAAGCACTAACTTAGAAAGACTAACACACATCCTTCTGTCCTTACCAAGCCCGAAGGACCAACTGATTCAGGGAGAATACGAATATGAAAACCCAGCATGTAAGATAGGGCCAGGTTTCGTACGTCTGTAATAAAGTTTTATCATCTTATTTTGCATCGGAAGGCCTCTATATTCAAACTCTGGGTGTGCTGAGAAGGAATTATTCTCCATTTGCTCTATCAATGTAAGACTGAGTAAGTTCAAATTCTAAGTAAGTGACCAGAAAAAAAACTTAACACTTGAGCAAATCAGTTTAACACTTTTAAGCCAGTTTCTTCACAGTACTTAATGTGGAAACTGAAGGACCAGATCAGCTGTGCAAGAATGCAGACATGGAACACATTTTAGACAAATGCACAACTGCGCCGAAGATAATCCAGGACTAAGTTGGAAATTTTAAAAATGTACTCACATTATGATTCTGATTTACTCATCTGTGACTTGGGAAAGGCATTTTGTCCTAACGTATAAATGAGGAGCCAAGACTAACTCTTCTTCTATACAATTTCCAATTTGAAATTTGGAAAAGCCTGATGTGAAATTACAAGATGCAGAAGAGACAATGCAGAAACTAGACAACTTATGGCAGTATTTCCTTATAACAATTTCATAATCTAATGCAACAGAAAACATGGAGAACCTGGGATTTCTAACATCTGTATTTTCAGAAGAGCCCACCCAGCTATGCCTTTCACAAAACAATATAGTTTTCAAATGTTTCCACCCAGCACCTGCAGTGCTTGCAGTCATACAGCACTCAGCTGGAAAGTTACCTGCGGGGTGTTTTTCAAGTGCTGATGTAAATTCAGAGCGAGGCGATCCCACCACCGCCCCCTGCTGTCGGTACAATACACGTCCTGAGCCAAAAGCTCCTGCAGCTCCTGCACTGCTGCCTGCAGCAACGGAAGCGGGTCTTCATTAGCAAAGTTAGAAAACCAAGCTGAAGTTCCATTATATAATTTGCTTATCATTTTTCTTTCTAATTGGGTACTATAAAAACTTAGAACAATTCAAACAATATTTTTACTTCTGCACCCGAGTATTCAGTTGCCTGGGTATAATTTAGGAACTCTATTTCTATGTAAACATGTAAGTTAGCCAACCCAAGTAAAATAGGCAAAGCCTTTTTTTGAGTAATCTGTTTTGCTGCATCAAATAAATCAGAGGCCTTTGGAGAACTTGATACCTCAGGTGAAGAGGCCAGAGATTCCACAAGACTTCTCTCCCAAGATTTTTCATTTTTAAAGGTAATAACCAAACTAGTGAAACAGATGTACCTTCAAATAAAGAAGTAATGTCTCAGAAACAGCACTACAGCACACTGCACATGGGAAATCTCTAAAGCATAAGCATACATAAAAGCAATTTTTAAAATCTGGGTTTCTTCTAATAGCTTCTACAGCAGCAAAAAAAAGAGACACCGTATACTTGAAAGTAACGTTAAGAGAAGTGTAGGAAGCTATGGCAAACATCACCGCTTGCCATGCACATCAGAAATACAAAGCAATGTATAATGCTACATTCAAAACGCTTTGCTGTTCACTTCACCACTTTACCTCATACATGTGAAGTCTCTGCAAAATTTCAACACCTTGAGAAAGTATCCTTGTGTATTTCCAGCCAACTGTGAAATGTCGCAGATACTCGGGCAGAACTCTGTGATTGCTGAAAGGTGAGAGGAGCTCAGGAGACCAATTTTAATTCATCTTAAAACACTCTTACGAAAATAAGAACTAAAGCATTCAAAACATGAAATGTCTTATGTATGAACTGAGTATTACAGGTACAAAGTCAAGAACCCAAACGTAAGCTAGGTAGGGCCAGTAAGCTGCATTTGTGCCACAGTTTTTGATCCCAGAGAAGAGGAATCATTAATTAACAACTTCTGCATGAGATCCAAAATAATAAGCTATTACATCATGCTTCCTTACTGCCATCTTGTTCTCTGAAGTCAGAAGGATCACCTCAGAAACTCAGCTGAACAAAAGGGAAAGGCTGTAACAAGGACTTCCTCTGTGCAGGCACCTCTATGTTCCAAGAAATTACTGAGTTATTTGAATACTTTACAAAATTTCACACTGCCATAGTGTGAAACAGAACAGACCTCCACATCACTCTCTATGAATACCAGCTTAAATCAGCTGCATTGACAATGAATACATCAAATTTAACGCTTTAACTTTCTGTGCATCATTAAGCCAGAAATCAAAATAATTAAAACAGTAACTAATGAAAGATGCCTCAAAAATAGTCCACATTACTTCAGTTCTCAGATCTTTAGTTATGTTTCCTGAATGACACACGCTTAGAAGTTTCAACAGATGAATAACCCAGTATGTTTTCCCATAACCTTTGCAACATTCTTTTGTTCACAGTGAATTTTCAACTCTGCTGACTGTTACTGGCCTAAAAGCCATAAAACCAAACTATGACAAGGGAAAAATAAGGCTCTTGTTCTCCCACACTGGCATGTAGAACAGAAATGTCTCAGTGCCTTATCCATGCTATCGATTCATTCCCAAGGCTTTAGGAAAAAAACAAAGCCTTTTCATATATAGCACTTAAAAGCTAAACAAACAGCAGGAAGTTCAGAACTTTCAAGAACATTCAAGCTCCTTAATTTTATTAGGCTTGAATGAGTTTAACAGCCTCTCTCCAAACAAAAATTAAGACAGTGCACCTAACAGTCACATATGAACAGCAGTTTCCAGTTTACTACCTCAAAGAGGGGTGATCTTTCAGACTGTTCCAGGTTTCTTTTGCACACACATACAGATGATGAGCTTCTTCCCAGTTCCCATTTACCATTGCAGTGGCTATATCGTTTGACAGGTGAGCAGCATTTGCATACCTAAGGGAACAAAAACATAATTACTGCTTTAGAATCAAGAAGCATTTATAATTAAAATAGATCAGTTCCTTCATACAATACTTTCTAAAATTTCCCTTCCAGTCTCCAAAGCTACTGAACCATGCAGTCGACTTTATTCTTAATCTTGTACAATCAGCAGAGATGCAGATGTTACATTTTGAAGTATTTATAAAACTGGGGAACATATTTTTAGTTTTGTTCAGGATTTTTTCTAATAATCATCACAGCAATGTCAGACACAACTTTCACCAGCAGATGACCATTAAGCAAATTAATATTCTATTCTGGTTCAGTGTACAAGCTATTGTGAATTACAAGTCTAACACAGACACAGAAAAGCATCTTAGATCACTGCAAAAGTGCAATTCTACTTATTCACATCTGCATTTCTACAAAAGTATCTTATCTGCCTACATAAGTACTGCAGTAAGGCTTCTGTAGAAGAAAACAGACTTCCAAATTGCCAAAGCTCCCCCTACCTGATAAGATCTTCTCTGTCCTGGAAGACTTGTGTTTTCCTATTCACAGCATAACTGGGGAACACCATACGTCCCATGTTTACCATCAGAACTGTGAAGAGCTGCCCTTGACCAGCACTGCCAGCTTCTTCATCCTCCACTGATTCAGACAGGGAAAATAGCAGCAGGATTCGAGAAAAGACAGCTCGAGGGCCTTTACATATTCTGACTGATCTTCCAGCCAGATCCTTTGCCCTGGAAGAACAAGTGAAGTGATTATGCAAATCATCTTCCCCCATCACTAATAAATATTTGAATATTCAAATGCACTATGAGAATTGTTTTATTCTCACACAGTCTAATGTTTAACCTCCGCTTTCAAAGAATATCCTGAGCCAGAAGGGACCCACAAGTCCAACAAATCCTGGCTCCACACAGGACCAGCCAAAATTCAAACCCTATGCCTGAGAGCTGTATCCAAACACTCCTGGAACTCCAGGAGCTTAGGGCTGTGACCACTGCCCTGGGAAGCCTGTTCCGTGCATAACCACTCTTGCAACTTTTCCCCCAAAAAGCCCCTTGAGAAACAACACAGAATCCACAACCTAAAGTGAAAATGCTTTAACTAAAAAAAAAAAGCGTAAGGACCAAACCCCAGGAAGAACAGAATTAGAACTAACTGCCCTTTGAGTGCAACCACTCCTGTTGCTACACCAAGTGTTGCCAACATGCATCAAGATGTGGTTAGCTGTTAGGGCAGCATTTAAAGATCACAATTTTAGATCCTGCGGTTTAGAATCTTCATAAAGTCATTTCATACAAGATAAGATTTCTGTTCACAGGGCAGCACAGATTTATACAAGATTTCCTCTAACCTTAGAGAGCAACTAGTGTTTTAGCTGTTGACTACAGAGGAAGGCAGTACCTTCCCAAAGCTGATACAATTAAGCAAGTAACTAACAGCCTTTTTTTCTTGGAGAAGGCTAGGGGACATTTTTAGAATCTGAGTTTACCAAGTTCTTTTCCATTTCCTGAACACATTTTTTCTTAACCCTTCCTTCATATAGTTTAAGTAAACAACAACAACAAAAAAAGGGATAATAGTGCCCAGAGCAGAAAAGCACGATGCTGTTTTAAAAGGGGTCTGATTCTTCCCCTTCTTTTTGATCCAGAAATTATAAGTCAGTAAACTGTGAATCAATATTTAACACTGCCTTTTTTTAATTATTATTATATTTGAATTTACTGAACTCTCATCAAAAGGCATGTTGATTTAGTTCTTCAAAAGATAACATGCATCTGCTTGCAAATCTTAACTGCAGATTTAAACAGCTTAAGAGGTACCTTTTTAAAATAACAGTCCCAATACCAGCCTGATTCCTGCTGAAGATGGAACGTTGTTTTGCCAACCTCAGGAAATCATCCACAAGTTGTTGTTTCTGACCGTTTGGATTTGGCAAGTGAAAGATCTTTGCTAAAGATTTTAGTTCAGGGGCAGAAAGCAAATCCAAACCTTCACACAGGTCTTCCAGCTCAGATTCTAGAAATAAAACAATCCACATACGTTTGTTATACATGCACACTCAAGCAACAGTTCAAAGTATAGCACATTGATATAACCCAATTTAATGATTTAGATTCTTCAAAAATATATTACTGATGCTACCCAGTCCAGCTTGAACTTCATTATTTTCAAAGGTCCAGTATGAAGGAATGGAATAATCAGAAAAAATCCCTCGGTAAAGCAAAGCAAACACAAGGAAATTTTGCTAGGTCACAAAATCTGCTGTTCAGAAAGAGCCTCAGTCTTCCTGATGATTGAAACCGTTTGCTCAGTGCAAAAAACAAACGGACTGCCAGGGAGAAGCATGAGCAGGGCTGCTCCACAGGGAGCAGTCAGCCAGGAATCAAGGGTGATCACAGCATGGGCAGTGCCTTCACCATCCCCCTGTGCAGCCCCACCATTACTGAGAGAATGGGTGGATCAAAAGTCCTGGTAACAGTCTCTACTGGCAGCCCCAAGAAAGACACAACGATGGTTCATCTAGAAGACGAGCCAGACATTGGGTTAGAAACAAGCCTACAGTTTAAGTCTGAGTCCCATCCACAGTAAATGGCTGTAGGTGAGACTGGAAACAAACAACTGAAGCACTGGTTAGAGGTCCACCCAGCAAACCATGACAGAGATGAAGACAGGTACGCCTGTACGACAGCTCCTGGCACTACTGAGAGATACCAGCTGGAGCTCCTGGACCAACGTGCAGATGATGCACAGCTCAGGGTCTAAGATGAGGCTGATGAGGGCAAGTAAAGCCTACAGGTGCATCAGTGACACTAACATTTATTCATCTCTCCCTACTATCTCCTATGCACTGTTTTCATTATTAATGCAATATAACATGGGGCTCATGGACCCAAAACCTTTAGTTATTGTGCTCTTCTAATTCTCATGGGAAGGACAAACACGTAGAGCATTAAATGCTAACGTGCCACAACTCCATATTTTACTTATAATACTTTGAATACTTACCAGTGCAGGCCATACCTGTTTGCAAAAATCTGGCTTCAACCAGTTCTTCAATTATTGGTGACAAATCCTTAGCTATCTCTTCATACTCAATTTTGTTCACTTTTAACCAGTTCAGCTTACGTTGAAAAAGTCTCACATATAACTTCTGCCCACCAACTGCAAATTGTAGTTGAAACAAGGAAGCAAAACAAGAAAATTAAATTCTAGAACCTGACGCTATGCATACCTCACCTACAAAAAGAACTTAGATGCAGATGTCCACTAAAACACATTTTAAACCTGCCTGCACCCTTAAGACAAACTTGGTAAGATAACAGTAATTATCACAAAGTATTTGATAGGTAATGAACATTGCCACAATGTATTTTGGCAATGCTTACCCTTTAAGGAATGGTTTATTTTCTAGGAAAAGGCAATTCCATTTTTCAAGCTGTGTGATATTAAATAGATCTTTTGCTTTCTTTAACACTCACTCAATAACTAACCATCTGATGATGGAGGAACAAAAGAAGTTGTGGAGTGATTTCAGAATCACACAATACATCTCAGTGTATCTGTCTTCAGACTCTTATCTTTACCAAAGGTACATAAGCTTTACTAGTACATCAACTGAAAGAGTAAAAAAAAAAACACAAAAAAAACACAAAACCAACCACCAAAATACTCTTTGATGTTTTATCAGGGAAGATTTCACTTAAAGCAACTTTAAAAAATACTCTGAATTTACTAACTATGCTGAAATTCAACCAAATAAAAACTTACAACATCTTAGCAGAAAAAAGCCTAGTCACTGTTGTTACCTTCAGCACCCTTTTAAATACCTACCTCACTTGTCACCCCTCATCGATTTGCTTATTCCTGTCTGCTGCTGCTGAACTGAAACTGATCCTTAATAAAAACAGACACTGAAACACTACCAGACACAGATATGTTTAAGAAATAAGAATTGATTTTTACATGCTTATTTAACTGTTCTCTTGTCCTCACGCAGACTTCTTCAGCCTTTTTGTTAATAGAATGTTTCCAGGCTCAGTTCACTGAGATAACTACATTCAGACACCTCAGCTTGTTATTTTCTCTGTAAGGTTATCTCCCCATTTTTCAAATCTGGAAGAAAAGAGTTGAGTAACACACTGACATCCTTTCTCCACCATGTAATCTGACCTAAATCAGCCTGTGGGAAATGTTCAGGAAAGGCATGTGAGGACTGTTTTCTTTCTAAAGGATTTGAATAACAAATACAAAATAAAAATGAATAACAAATAACAATTTAAAAAGTGTATGCACTTTTTCTTGTTATGATAACCAAGAAGCAACACTTGCTTGGGTAGAAACTACGAATGTGGAACAAACATCCCATCTACCTGAACTATTCATTCTGTCCAAGGTTTCTTGAAGGTAAAAAGTGTTCCATCACTTGTCCAGAATTCATTCTCTATTGACTTAATGCTTTCCAACCACATTTCTTGTGCTGCTGGCTCACCATCCCTTGCCGAGTGGCCTTTCCTGACTCCTGATAAATAAAGTCCTATGTTATCACCTCATCTTACTTAAGGTAGTCTCAACTTATGTCAGCATTTTAAGTGCTCGGTGTTACTGCATTTCATTATTACAATACAATCTAAAATAATTTGCTTGTAAGGAAGCAATCACTGTAGAAATGCCTAAGTGTAGAGGTCTACTTCCTCCCCTGAAGTTTCTTCACCCTTTCTTAACAATCATCTCTTTACGTGGTTGGAGTTAACTCAGCTGACTTGTCCACTAGGACAGATGAAATAACACTAATATGGTCTTCCAGCTGCTTTAATGTAAGACCAGAAGACCTTTTCTGCAGGCTGCCTGACCACAGCTTAAGTGCTCCATAAAGAAACAGAGGTGTTTACTTTTTTTTTTTTTTTTTAAATAAAGGAACTGAGACTACTCATCAGGGCTCTATTTTTCCTAAAAAGCATGAACAAACATGTCTCCATTTTTGTCACCCAGCACTCTGTACTAAAATGGGCGTCTGTACTAAAAAAGGCATTAGCAATAACTTTGTTGAGAGCCTCCGACTGGGCTTGGAAAAATTTCACATAGTTGTTAGTCATAAGTTACGGCCTTGATACTCTCTTTTCTAATGTCCTGTGGTGTCAATCTACAGTATTGTTAGGACTTTCTAGAAACAAACATTAAAGGACACAGAGCTCTAAATTATTAAGATAGTTTTCTTCCAATCTGCAGTAAGACAGAACACGGAGAAACAGCTGGTCTAAAGACAGTATGCTAGTGCAGAAAAAAAGGAATAGGATAGAATTGCTCAGCTTGGAAAAGACCTTAAAGATCATTGAGTCCAACCACAACCTAACCATACTACCCCAGCTCTAACAACCCTCTGCTAAGTCATGTCCCTGAGCACCACATCCAAACAGTTTTTGAACACACCCAGGGATGGTGACTCGACATCCTTGGGGAGCCTATTCCAGTGCTCAACAACCCTTTCTGTGAAGAAGTTTTTCCTGATATCTAACCTAAATATAATCTCTAGAGAGGAAAAAGAGCAAGATGCGTGTCAGTTTTGAAATACTAGTCTTCTTTAGTGTGACACACTCCACAGACTACTAGCTAAACCAAGCTGACCTAACACAACACATCGCTAAGTGCAGAATGCTTTCCAACTGATTTTCTACCAGCAGATGCGCACGTAACATTTTGGCAGTTCTGCACATTCAGCTCAGATGCACACAGCTCATAAGAGCATAAGCATACAAATATTTTGTCGGGTATCTGTGTGTTACCACAGTAGCTGACGGCAACATGGACAGCTATGGCTGCAATACTCTAAGGTGAGTATTCTTCTAGTTAATACAAACTTATTTCTATTTTGATGCCCCAAGTTAGCAGAAATACTGGCAAATCCATTCTTAATTACAACTTATGACAAATTAAAAGCATACATGTAAATTTGGAGGGATAGTTTTAACTCGCGTTAAATTCCGCCTTTTTTACAGTAAAACCTTCTGTGTAGGATTCAAGCAACATTTAAATGGTGGGTTTAAATCTCAAATATTATGCCTAATGAGAGTTAAAAGCACCACGAGACTTGCAAGAAAATGACTGGTAATTAGCAGTTAGCATTCATAATAATAACTAGGATAACTATGTATTCAAACCAAGCATAAAAGTCACCTGGAAATGTGCAGAACCAGAGCTCAGAAACACACCATTTCAGAACTACTTTTTTCAAGGTCTGTGTGTATAGCACAGACCTCTTTGTAACCACATTTTGCAGAATTTCCATGTGTATTATTCATAAAAACTTCAGTGTTTCACTACAAAAGAAACCAAAAAAGCAAAACACAGTGCTAACTGATAACTATTCCTGTGAATTGAAGTTAAATGCTGAAGCAAGTTGACTTAAGATTCTATTAAAAAAAGGTATTTTGCAAGTTAAGCTACAGAAATATGCACAATCATATATACATACTTTAAATTCTCTCCTTACTTCACCCATCTCTTCCCTGTTTATTATTACAGCCCATTAACGCAGCATTTGGTAAGTTTACCTGCAGGAAGCTTCTGGAGGGACGTGTCTCCTGAGAAAAAGGACTTTCTTCCATTAAGTTTAACAAGCTGAATTGCCTGTTGGTACAGTGCTCTTCACTCAAAACTATGAAACAGTTCTCTCTACAAAAGACAGCATGATAATATAAAAACAGACAGATACCTGATAATTGGCAGAACTGAGTAATAACGTTCATATCTTGCTCATCAAAGAGTCTCAGATCATCTTCGTTCTCCAACACTGCTCGCAACACCATTAAAAAGTTTCGGAGGTAATATGGGTGACTAGGAGAGCTAACCTCATTTATTATATTTAAAATATCACCAACGGAATTTTGAAAATCCACCTTTTCCACAGTTTCTGCTAAGTTATGATTAAACTCATAATTAAAGTCTTCAAGAACTTCCACAGGAAGTACCTGTTCATCACTGTCATTAAAGCAGCTTTGCGTACCACAGTCCACTTCCATCTCTGAAGACGGAACACGCTGAGCACAAGGCTGTGCCTCAACCTCTGAACTGCTGACCAGCCCTGCTGAGGTACCAACAGCCAGAGGTGTTTGAGAATTACTGGGACTGAGCACCACGCCTTTAGATCTACTTCCCGCTCTGGAGTTCCTTGCACCAAACAGCACTCCATCAGCCGGTAACGATACCTGAACAACATCTGTAACATCTCCCTTATTATATTCGTCTATTTCAGTTTGAAATTCAAACTCTTCCAAGGGATTTTGCTCCTGGTGCACTCTCTGAACAAGCTCGTTTTCTTTCTGAGAACTACTCCCAGCACAGATGTCATCAGCACTGCCATCCAGTGCTGCAGCACTGCCACACATGCTGTGAGCAGCTGGAGGCGAGGAGTCCATCTCCTTATACACGATCTGTTTTCCCCTCTGGATGCGACGTCTTCTGGACAGTTTAGATGACAAGCTTCCCAAAGAAACGACTTTAACCGTTTGCTCCAGGGGCTCAGTGTAAGCATCACCGGCTGGACCCCGACTGCTAAAATAAGGACTAACGTGCTGCACTGCCCTGCCTTCTGCTTTCAGCACTCTGCTTTGGGAAGGACTTGTCCTCAGATGCGAGGGCTCCGAGCAATACGAGCTGGAATTACCGCTCACAGGTGTGCCTGGCAGACTCTGTGTGGTGCCGAGCGCCGCACCCCCATCACCAGCAGCAGCAGCAGCAGCACCCAGTCCGGCACAGCCGCTTCGACACAGCCGGTCCATGTGCTGGTTTATCCCGTACCTCGGCACCAGCTGCCCACACACGGGACAGCTAACTTTAGCAGGAGGCGCGCTGTTGAATAACGAAATAATAGAGCAGGACTGCGGAGGTATAGAGGGCGTTCCTTTATCTTTCGCTTTCCTCGCCGCTTCTTTCTTTTTCTTCTTTGCACTCGGTGACAAAGCGATCTGGGCTTTTCTCCTTCCTGAAGACCTGGATTCGGACATGATGGAACTTCAGAGCCTTCCCGCGGCATTGGCGACTACTGCCTTTGCACGACCCATCCGGCCCGCAGCACTCCCCGCACTCCTCCGGCGCCCTCACGGCCCCGCCGAGCCCGCCCAGCGCCTCCGCGCCGCGCTCAAGCGCCGCATCGCCACCTGAGGCCCAACGGCCGCCCGCGCCCAGGCCTGGAGCCGCCCGCCGGCAGGTCGTGCAGCGCAGCGCCGAGCAGAGCGGACGGCAGGCACGGGCAGCCGAGCGCGGAGCGGCAGCGCGAAAGGCACGGCCCGCAGCCGGGAAATCCCGGCGGGGCTACGGCTGAACAACGCCTGCGAGAGCTCTGAGCGAGTCACGTGGGGCTTACGCTTCCCAGCAGTGCCGAAATAGCTCTACCTTGGTCAAAACGCTGTAAGAACAATTGTGGGTGCTGCCTTAAAAGCAGCTATGGCCTCCCTGCTTCACATTCCTCCCTCCTCAGAGAGTAGTCTGCGCCTGGAGGAGTCCACCTGCGACTGTGCAGGAGCAGCACAGCTGAGGCAGAGTTAAGATGAATACAGCAACTAACCTGTGTTAAAAAGAGCTATGTTACTATACATCTTCAGTAGCTAACCACTTGTTTGCTATCTGGTTTAGAAGGGAAGCAATCCTTTCATTACTGACAAGAGTGGGTAAGGGTAGAGGCAGTCGCTCTTCAAGGAAACTTTTATATGCTGAAGTGGTCATAAGTTGCTCAAAACAGACAGAGATTCAATTACAGAGCATCCCTAGACTACAGGTTGAAAATTTAAGCTATAATAAACACTGTTACATCTCTACTAAATTAAAACATTGTATAAAAAAAGCAATAGCTTACAGCTGGCACCTGTAAGTCACATCACAAACATAGTTATGGATGTGGCTGATGTCACCAAGTTTTTGTTCTGGAATGAAAAAAAAAAAAAAAAAAAAAAAAAAAAATAGAGGAACATGTCTTTATCACAGTTTAGGCCTTCCCAGAACATTTTAATGATGTACAAAGACTAAGAACCATTCCAATTCAGCATTAAAATACAAACGCTGTTTCTGTATGTACTGATATATACAGATCTAGTACATATAAAAAAGTCAATTATAATTTAAGCTTATGGACAGAGACGTCTTTCTGCTTTTTTTGTTTCTTCTTCAATTTGTTTGCATCTTTGATTTGCATTCTCACTTGATCTTGTAATTGGGAGAAGAAGGCTTGGGATGACTTCACGGCCTTATCTTTTCCTTCATCCTGTCAACAGACAAATCGTTATAGCCCAGAAACATATAAACAGCATCATCATATTCATCAGTTCTTTAAAAGAAATCACGTATCATCTGTAACTAATAACTGACTTCTGAAAGGTCATATTTACCTGACGTATTTGCTCAAACTATGTAACAAGCTCTGGGCAGGCAAGCACACACACTATTTGGGTCCAAGATATCCAAAGGGACTGTAGATGCAATTACACAAAGAACAGGAAAGAAACTTCTCCCTCTAAGTATGCTAAACATTATCCTGCAGATTTTAGAGGTCCTCAGCTAGTGAAAATGAAATGATGCAGGGATATTTGAGAGCACCATACCTTGAGTAGTGACGCTTTGCCTTCTTTTGTAAGCTTTTTCAATTTTGCTGCAGCAGCTTTTTTGCTGAGCTTCATGCTTTGTTCTGGTTTCATCTTCTCAAGAAGTTTTTGCCGTTTTTCCTTTTCCCTGAGCTTTATACGTTTACGAAGCTTTTTCTTTCTCCGCTCTCGTTTTTTGTCCGTGGGAGTCTTTTCTGCATCTGTTTTTACATCACCTGCTTTGTTCTTTTCCTAAAGAGAAAGAGATTTCTGTATCCGTAAGCGCACAAAAGAAAGCTCACCGCAGAGTATTCAAGTCCGTCTTAGCATTTTGATTATTTCAGATGTTTAACCAGCTTAGGGCAATACCACATTAAGACAGATTAAAAACTGTCAGAAGCTGCTATCTGTACAGCTGATAGATTCTATTGCCATTCAACTGCCTCTTCCACTCAGCTATACACTGAGATAATTACCCTCACAGGTAAAGAACAAAACCCAACCATACTATCACAACCTAGGATACCTGGCTTGAAAGGCAGAATTCTCTGACTGTTGTGACAACTGTTTTTTTTGTTTGTTTGTTTGTTTTTAAATATATAGAAGTATAAAAGAAAGAAAGAAAACAAAAAAGTGAGGATTTCTACTACCTTGATCTCCTCTGGTGCTAAGAGAGCAGCATCGCTAACAGCAACAGGTGCTACTTCTTCCATGCTTATAGCTGGCAGGTTTGACACTATTTTAACTTCTGGCACAGGCTAGAAAATAAGGAAACATTCAAGACTGAGCACACCATTTCACAGGAGTTTATAGGTAACTGGATATACTAGGTATTTGTTTTTGTTTACAACCAATTATCTAATGTATCTAACATGAAAACAGAACAAGTTCTATGTTCACTTAAAAATATACTTGGAAAATGGAACATCTCCTGTTTGGGAGATGAATAAAAAGGAAGAAAAAGAGTAATTTTGAAACAAGTACATACTGGTTTGGGCGTGAAGTGGAAATTACAAAGCGCATCCAGTTTTAGGAACAGCGAATCCATCATCTCCTGAATTTCTTTGTGCTCAGGATTTTCTTCTTCTTCTGTTTTTTGCTGCATTAATAATGCAATGTTATTGCAACATCATTCCTAAAACAATTTTACTTTAGCAAGATTGATAACACAGTATGCAATTCACCGCTGTTCCACCTATGAACAATCAGAAATACTGAGGTATTTCCACAAAGGCAAAGACAGGTAGCAGCATACAAGTAAATACACACATTTACATATGAAAACTTCAAACCAAAAGAAAAGGCATTGTTTATGTTACCTGGTGAAGTTTCAAGTATTCTTGCTCATAGATCTCAGCCAGACTCAATTTACTCTTTTCATGATCCAAAGTAATACGTTTCTTGTATTCAAAGGCATCCTCTTTTGGTTTTTCTTTCGGAACTACATCATCCCATGCCTGAGAAGGTGATAAATTAATGATCAAATGCAAGTACAGACCAATACGTGCAACAGCTTATTTAGAACATGAACTTATCAGGTATATTAACAAGTTCACACATGGCTCCCCAAAACCTCTGGAAGTTCACACTCTCGCTTGTAAATGTAATAGAAGATGTATAGCTCAAGTTTGCGTGCTTATTTTCAGTGGATCAGGGCAAAAAATAGTATAATCAATAATAGGTGTGTAATTTCCTTAAGTACTTAAATATCCTTCAAATATATACTTTTATTAAAGAGCAAGCAAGATATTAACCTCATCCAATATTCTCTGCTTGATGATATCTTCAAGTTGAAAAGTAGTTTCTTCTGTGATCACAGGAGCTGAGAAAAAGAAAACATTTATGTTTCTGCAGCAAGGCATACTTTTTGTTATGAGGAATAAAAAAAGAAAGTAAGTCCTCAATAAAAACGTAGTAGTGTGAGATTTTTGTTGATAGGTGAAGCTAAGTAAGTAACACTGTTCTCTTCTACTGCAGAGAGATATGAATGGGAAGGAGAATCATATTATGTGGGACTCATAAGCAATTAAGTCTGCCACTATATTAAGGAACATTCAAGCAAGTTAAAATTGAATCAATAAAATTGTTGTATCCTGTATTTTCCAGAATGAAAGTGCACAGCCTCAGAAACGTGCTGAAATGTTTAACCGTTGTTCTTGTTACCCTACTCTTGAGTCAAGGGTGCTATCAGCATGCTTAGAGAGAAGACAATCCAACGTGACAGGGCAACATGCCTTCAAGAAAGCCACCCTTCAGTGCTCACCCATTCGGACTGCATGATCAAAGAGTACTGTTTCCTCCAAAAGGCTATTTTCAGGTCTCTTATGTCCACTCACTTCCCCTTTAAGCTGCCAAGGTTTCTCCTCCAACAACTCTTCTTCTAAACTTTTTATTTTTTCACTCATCTGGAAAACAAATTTCCTAAGAAGTTAAAAACAGTTCACAAGTAAACTCAAAGAAAGAAATAGCCATTTCAGGTACTTTCAATACCTACTCACATACAAATGTGAGAACATATAACTCTATACGTACATCAGATATACATAAAGCACTTTAAGTTGCAAGCGGCCTCTTCATGTTTCTCTAACTTCTTCAGCAATCAATAAAAACCAATGGCCACAGTTTCAAAGTATTAGAAAAATAAAATAATTACCTTTTCCTGTCTCTTCTCAAAAGATGACTTAACCTCACTGAGATCAATACCCCTCTCTAATTGCACATCAGCAACATCTTCTGTTTCACTGTCATCTGGCAAACTAAAAGAAACTTTTTTATTTCTCATATTTTCCATGATTGCTTCATTAATATCCTCAGCCCTGTAAAATCAAAATACAATGCATGCTAAAGTAGGAGTTTAAAAGTTTAAAAGTCACCACTTTTACATGAAGATATTTCATTCACTACCTGGCAGTTTAACCTGGCATGACTAACTCACACTTAAGAACTACAATAGACTTTCAATGAAGGCAGAAATACTAGGGAAACTTTCATACATTAAAATCAACTTTCAATAGCTGAAGTTATGGCTTTTATCTGATTTAGTGAAATAAATACCAAGAAACACTCAGGAGAGGAGTAAAATACTTTCTGACTAAGATGATAATACAATCCAAAATGACACAGCAGAAAACAAAATGGCAAATGGTGAATAAAGAGAACCTAGAATTCACACTTCATTTTCTACTTCAACAGAGTGGCACATTTAGTGTAAAACTGCAAGAGCATTTTAACTGCAAATAATGCATATACTTACTCAGACATGCCTTCTTCATTCTCCTTTTCAATAGCACTATCGGCTTCTTCATTCTCATAGTCTTCAGCATCATTAGCTACTAAGTCATCATTGTCATCAACAGGATCAAAGAAGTCTTTGTATGTTAGATCTCTAGAACTTTTAAGTGGCTAAAAACATGAGATAGAAAAACCTGTTAACAGCCTTCAACACCTGGAGAACAGCACTACTCCTGTAACTTACTGACACAGTAACTTGGAGAATCTCAGTATAACCTCTTATAGAAATAGCCAAGACATTCTG